CTGGCCCTGTTCTGCCCTTTCCCCTGCCTGCCTTGTGCCGAGGCGCTGGCCTACCACTGCATCTGACCGTTTACTGCATCCCCAAGTAGCCCCGTGCTGGGGGCACTGTCCCATCATTGCATCTGACAGTGCACTGCACCCCCAGCTAGCCCCGTGCTGGGGGCACTGTCCTATCATTGCATCTGACCGTGCACTGCACCCCCAGCTAGCCCTGTGCTGGGGGCACTGCCCTGCTACTGCACCTGGCCCTGTCATGCCCCTTCCCCTGCCTGCCTTGTGGCCAGGCACTGCCCTTCTACTGCATCTGACCGTGCACTGCATCCCCAACTAGCCCCGTGCTGGGGGCACTGCCCTGGTACTGCATCTGGCTGTGTCCTGCACTCCCCATCAGTTGTGTGTGTCTGGGGCACTGCCATGCCACAGTATCTGACCATACACTGCACTGCCCCCCCCCCCCCCCAGCCCACTGCTGAGACACCCTCCTCACGTACACAGCTCTTGTAATGTACCTTAGTCCTCACCTATGTACTATCCTCTTCCCTTGGCCCTTCACTCAGCAACACTGAGGTATTTGTGCCCTGATCTGTACCTCCACTCCCACCATTCCAGTCCTTCCTACCCCAGTTTGTTTAATGCACTTTACCAAGCCCTACAGTACAACTCCTCTCCCCCTTGCTATCCATCACGACATTGCTCGTCTACCCTGACTTGCAGGACCCAGCTGTTTTTTCTGTCCTGGGGCCATACACAGCTCTGATGAGACATCTTAATTGTGACTGGCAATTTCCAGTCCAAACTGCATATTGGTTTATATGGAAAAATCTCTATTATTGTTGTCGTTTTGTTGGTTGCTGTTTATTTGTATAGTACCATACATCTACACCCCTTAGCACCGTTCCTCTACCTAAAATCAGCTGTGATCAGCTGGCTGTTTTGTTTATGAAGTCATTATAAATCCAAGAGACTCTGCCATGCTGGTTGTGAGCCTAGCCTGGCTGACACCATCTCTATGTCTATTCAATTAAGCACATGGCATTACCATGCCAAGTGTTTCAGGATCCTTGTCAGCACCAGAGACTGCATGCATGGAAAGAAAGGGGATTTTTACTTTTTAATTTGCCCTATTCTCCTCCCCATTTCCCCCTTCCCCGACACACACACATTTGCTAGTTTCAACCAAATCATGACTCCACAGACAGGGATGATGCAAACTTTGGTGCCCCCTCATGGTTCCCGATTGAATATCGGCTATGATGCAAGATGTTTGTATTATTCAGTCAACATTTTCACCTGGGGAAGGAACAGATGACAGTGGTGGATGGAAATAATTCCTAGATGGATTGTATTTTCTAACGGACAACCTATCCTAATTTCTCAATTACTGCCGGACAATCTTCACTCATTCATATAAAGAAAAGGAGTACTTGTGGCACCTTAGAGACTAACCAATTTATTTGAGCATGAGCTTTCGTGAGCTACAGCTCACTTCATAGGATGCATACTGTGGAAACTGCAGAAGACATTATATATACACAGAGACCATGAAACAATATCTCCTCCCACCCCACTCTCCTGCTGGTAATAGCTTATCTAAAGTGATCATCAAGTTGGGCCATTTCCAGCACAAATCCAGGTTCTCTCACCCTCCGCGTTGCTTTCCACAACTAACTCACTGTATAACTTTTCATGAGTGATGAATGCTTGGCTGCTAATATCTAAATTGTATTGTTAAATTTATTAATCGTATTTGGGTTATCGCTATATATATATATATAGTATTACTTTTAAACCAACCTTTGTACTTTTGAAGAGATGCATTGTCTCATGCAGTGACCAAGATGCAACAATAGATAGAGAATTATATGGCTCCTGATAAATGAATTAACATCGGGAACTTCCAGGCGACCATGTTCAAGAGTGCAGAAGCCCATGGTCCCAGCACAGGACTCACTGGGAAAAGGAGCTCAGGGAAGATGTTGGAGAGTGGCTGCTTGCAGCCAGATTTTCACACAGAGCCTCTAATTTTAGGTGATTAATTTTAGGTGCCTAATCCGAGACATCTTGGGTCTGAGCTGTAGGGGAGCTGGGCATTTATACCCCACAATCATTTGAGTCAGAGCTGTTGAGTCAGAGCTGTTGGCACTCATCAGAACTGGAGTCCAGGACTGGAAGTCCAGGAGGTATCTCAGGTTGGGCATTCCGGATCAGAGGCCACTACTGGAAATGTTGGCTTTACCCTATACTATGGCCCTGTAGCCCGCAACTCAGCCGCATGCAGCTTTAGCTAAGTCTCAGATTTTTAAAGCAAAAGGCAAACAAAACAAATCCTAGCCTCTTATCCTGCGAACAGATTATTCAGCTATCTATCTACCTAACTATTTATCTGTCTATCTATCGATCTATCTATCTTCCTAGCCCATCAACACAGTATCCAGATGCCATATACACAACTCAGAGGTACAGCAAAGGATCAGTCTTTCACCCCTTCTTTGTTTTATGCCACTTTCATAAGTGCATCTCCTCCCTTTTCCGTTTCACCCTCCCTCTAATGAATTGAGCGTCAGTCCTTTTGTTGCTGGGCTGTGGCATGATTTTGATATGTGGCCATGTGCCTGGCTGTTTTTTTTAGGTTTGAAATGCTTTGTATTTGTTCTTCATTGCATGGCATTTATAGACCCATTGCGGCAGGCACTCTGCAGATAGACAGCAGTAGTTGCGTCTCTATTTTAATTTCCTTCTTGGTATCTCTTTTCTGTCTCATGTCAGGTTTACAGGGGCATGTGTGGGCAGAATGGGAGCTTGGAAGCAGTGAGCATAGGTATATGGTGTACGTGGGCCAAGGTGAAATGAAGACTTTGATCATCAGAGTTTGTAGATCTGACATGCGCTCTGTGGTATCCCCAACAAGAAGCTCTGACCGTTTGCATTCTTGCCAGCCCCAGAAGTCTTCCTAGCTCTGAACATAGCCCGCCAGCGATGAAAGATCTCAGCACTTTTAAATTCTGTACCTCCCAGCCTGCCTGTGCCTACAATCCTTACCGCAACTGACACAGAGAGTAGTTCCCTTCCACCAATTTTTTATCTCCTTTCCCTACACTTTCTTCCTGGAAAATTCTCCAAAGAACAGAGCATCCCCACATCCAGCTGTCTTTCCTTCTTGCAAGAGCTCTATGATCACTCATACTGCCCAAATGACCTTGATCTGGGGCCAGCAGGAACTTGAAAAGGAATCTGGGAAAGTCAAAGCAAAGTGAAGGGAAAGTAAATTTCCCCTCTGACCTGAGCAGCTCAGCAGGAGGGAGTCTGGCCTCAATTATCAAGTCCCATTCCAAACAAAAGCTAGAATGGAGGCCAGGGGCTGAACACACAGTGCTGCCTCCGGGAAAGGAAGAACAGCTGCTTGCTAGACTCTGTCAGGCAAGCTGTCACAGTCACACCTGCTATCTCTGAGGGTGCCACCTGCACAACTGATCAGCAGAGATCAATACAAGCGGAGGGAGGATTTTTCTCCCTTTCCTGCAGGGATTGTGTTTGGAGGTGGAAGGCCCAGGATCGGTCTGCAGCTGCATACAATGGATCAACCTTGGGCTTAGCATCTGCGAAGACAAGATGGACTGTGGAGTCTCCTGGGGCTGGGGGAGATCTCAGCAAAGTAGGGACAGCTGAGAAAGGAAGAATCAATGAGGAAGGCAGGTTGGAGAAAAGAAAGGAACCAGGCTGCCCTTATGCACAGAGAATAATACCTTGTGCCAGGAATAACCCCTATGGAGCCAGTGACACTGCTTATGGAGTAAAGTACTAATCAGTGTGGTAGTGAATCACAGTCAGGTTATAGGGAGTGTGAGGGAGAGGGAAGGGATCCGAAGGAAAGGGAAACGGTGTGAGAGGAGGAAAGATAAAGGGAGGAGACAGAAAAAGAAAACCCCACTGCTCCTTTAAAATATTCCAATATTTCACCAACCACACTCCTCTGTCACTCCTCAGCAAGAGCTGAGGCCTAGTCTGATCTCCCTTACACCCGTGTAACTCCCTTGCTCCCAATGGCACCGTTCCTGATTTATACCAGAATGAGACAGGTAGCAGACTTGTCACGTTTGGGAGCTTACAGGAGAATGCGGCAATCCTTTTAGGCCCTGGCTACACTTGGTGCTGGGGGTGCGATTCACTTGTGTGAGCTCTCATCCAGCTAGAACGCTAAAAACACAGTGTAGCCACGGCGGCATGGGCAGCAGGATGGCTTAGCTGCCCCAAGTACATCCCCAGCCCAGCCCACAGGCACGTACCTGGGGCAGCTAGCCCATCCTGCCAATCATCCCCCGTTGGCTACACTCTCTTTTCAGTGTGCTAGCTTAATCAGAGCTAGCGTGCGCATGTCTCCTTAGGCTGGGAATTTCGCCCCCAGCTCCAAGGGTAGGCGTACCCTTACAGAGAACCCTTAGGGAAAAGCCCTATAGAACTGAATAGATCACCTTTCTATAGGTGAATCCCTCTGCTAGGACTGAATAGCGAATTCTGTCCCTGCTATAGAAATCTATAGGATGGCTAAAAAACCCAGACAAACTCTACAAGGAGCTTTATCTATCTATAGCTTTTATTGCCATATATCGATAAAGAGGATGACAGGATAAAAGTGAGGATGAAAGAGCAAAAAGATAAATGCAAAGTACGGGAGAGGAGGAGAGACCAAGGAGAAAGCAGGCCTCTCCACGTGCTTCCTCCTCACAAACCCATCCAGCCAGCTACAAAGACAAGGCAAGCTTCTTTTGCATTTATCTCCCTTTGCAATACAACTCTTAATAGGAAGCATCTGTGGGACACAGATGGTCTCCGGAGGAGCCTAGCCAGGGCTGGATTGGATCCCTCCAAAGACATCCTCTTTCCTCTTGCTCTGTCCTGGCTGTTGATTGAAACCAGAGCCTGCCTGCCACAGGGGTGTGAGAAGAGGGCGGGGAGAGGAGGGCAGCTCATGCTGCTGGAGTTATTAGTGTTTGGTTCTGAGTGGAAAGCAGAGGATCTGGACGTGGGGCTCTATCTGCACCCACCTCACGCTTCCAAGTGGGTCAGAGGAGATGTGATGCCCTGTTCCTTGCAGGGAAGAAGAGGCTCCCAGAGACAGTCTGGAGGATGTTGCTGCTGCTGGTGATGGGTCTGGCTTGGTCCTTCCATGGAGCCTCCTGCTTGCCACATCCCATCGGATTCACGTGAGCAGAAGAGCAGGCGGAAGGGCAGTGCCAGTGTGTGCCACAGCTGTGCCCCCGAGCCACAGCCTGCCCAGCCGGCTTGGTGTGTGACCACTGCGGCGGCTGCCTGGAGTGTGGGAATGCCGAGGGGCAGCCCTGCGACCTGGATGGCAGTGACACCTTCTATGGTCGGTGCGGGGAGAACCTGGAGTGCCAGCTGGACATCCAGGGGCTAGGCTATGGGGGGATCCCCGAGCCACAATGCGTGTGCAGGTCCCAGAGGGCCGTGTGTGGCTCCAATCATATCACCTACCAGAACATCTGCAAGTTCCAGGAGGCCGTGCATGAGAGAGACGGGTGGAACCTCAGCATCACAAGTGATGGGCCCTGCCAAGCAGGTAACGGTCCACCTCCTTGTTTGCCCTCTGCTGCTTGGGGAGAGACCGGGAGGGGAAGGTGGCCCAGGGATAGACGAGGGATGCAGCCACTTTTCCAGCGTACCCGGGGTGAGGTGAAGAATGGCACAGGAGGTATCTAATCCTCCAAGCCATGGCCAGATTCCATCGGTCAGGGGACTTGAGTGTCCGAAAGGGCTTTCAGAGCTGTCCTGCAAACTGGGTTTCCTTGTGCACTGGGCTCCCCTGTGAGCTAGCCCCCCAACCCCCTCCCAGGTGTGCCTTAAAAGCCAGAGCCGGATTCCTTCCGGTGCTGATTTATAATGATAGGAGTTTGGGCAGAGAAAATATTCAGGTGCCTGTGTACATGTACATCGAACACATCCATTCACCACCCCATCCACAGATAGCTGCACTGCAGTTATGATTTATGTATGTACCATGTCTGTGTACCCTATATATGTCCCATATGTATTGTTTGTATATATATATTGTATGCAAGCACCATATGGATATATGTACACAGCGTCTTATGTACCATGCTATTGTATATGTGCATGTACCATAGGTATATTGTATTAGTACTATATGTATGTACCATATGTGAATGTATGTACTGTGTATATCTGGATGTACCATAAGTAGAGAACATATACATGTATGTACATAAGTACATGAGGTCAAATCCTCAGCTGAGATAAGTCAATGGAGCGGTAATGATTTACCCCAGGTGGGGATATGGCACTTTAAAATGTGGTTATGTATGTGCCACATGTGTATTTGCTCCATACGTATTGTGTGGTTTCAGAGTAGCAGCCGTGTTAGTCTGTATTCGCAAAAAGAAAAGGGTGCCACAAGTACGCCTTTTCTTTATAAGTATTGTATGTATCATATGTGGAGGTTAGGGACAGAAGGCCCAATCGCTCAACCCTTACTCACACGAACTGTAGCCCTTACTCATGCAAATTTTCCCACTGACTTCCCTGAGGCTACTTCTGTGTGTAAGAGGTGTGTGTAGCACAGGGATCCTTTGGGACGAAAGGCTCTAGAGAAATGCAAGCTAATGGTAGTGATTATTATTAATGGCTAGAGATGGGCCAAAAGCCAAACTGAAGATTTGATCGCTCCCAGATTTCCGGGAAACTCCAACGTGGATCCAAATCTGAACTCTGTGGCTCAGACCCATCAATGACACCTAAAATCAAAAATGAATTCAGTGTATTTCTCACATTGTCTGTTTCCTCTGATAAGGTGGGCTGGGATCAGGCAGCAGACGTGGTTCATTGCTGCACTCATTACAATATAAGGTGACTTGTGTTATCTCCTACCCATGTAGACTGACCTGGCAGAGGGAGTGGCTAGATAGGATAGGAATAACTGCTGGTTAATAAGATGCTTCCATTGTTTAAATCTCTGCCATGCTCCCTGCAGCAGCCTTTATGATTCTGGTTAGGGGAGGTTCATTTCTGTCTGGTGATAGAAGAGGGTTAGGTTCTGACCTCCTGAGCTTCTAAAATCCTCAGCCTTTTGTCTGGATTCTGTGCAGTTCCCCAGATCAAGCACCATCCCCAAGACCAGGTGAATGTGTCGGGCCATGATGTGATCTTCATGGTTGAGGTCTTTGCCTACCCCATGGCCCTCGTGGAACGGAGGAAGGATGAAGAATTCGCTCTACCTGGAGATGATCCTCACATCTCCATCCAAGTGAGTGACACCATCACAGCTCCGCCTAGGCAATTGGTCCCCCAGCTTCGCTCCACCCAGGTGGAGGCAGCTCCATACAGGTGAATGATCTCAAATCAGCACGGCCATGGTGAGTGACCCTGACATGCACCTCTGCCCAGGTGCATCAGACACTTATCTCCATCTCGGTGAGTCTCCTGCATGGTGCACTCCTTAGGGTGTGTGCATTTTCCTGAATGGCCCAGCTTGGTGATCGACCGTGGGACTCATTTGCCCTAATTCTCTTCCTGCTCTCAGTCCAGGGGTGGCCCTTTGAAATACGAGCTGTCCAGCTGGCTGCAGATTGAAGGGGTGAGGAAGGCGGATGGAGGCACCTACTCTGCACTGCACACAACAAGCTGGGCAAGCCACTGCCAAAGCTGCTCTTCTTGTCGCCAGTGCAAGTGCCCTGTATCCCTGTCCTCTCTGTGTGTGTGCAAGGAAACAAGAGACGAAAGAAACGGTCTCGCGCTCTCACTATGAGGCTTCCTGAACGGCCCAAGCTCCATTCTTGACCCAAAGAATCAAAGGCAGCCCTGGCTGCAATGAAATGTTGGTTGTCACGGCTTCATATGCCAGGGCAGATTTAGGCTGCCTTCAGTTACACCCGTGCAGCCCTGCTGACTTCGACTGAGTTGCATCCATGTAACCATCGGGCGGGATTCAGTCTGGAGATTTGACATATTCACCGGAAAACACTGTGTTACACTGGCAGAGTTGCTGGAGAGGGGAGGGGTAGACACCGGGAGAAAGGAGGAGGGGGAAGGGAGATGAAGGCAATTGGGGAGGAAGAGAAGGGGGACGGAAAGAGGGAGAAAGGGAGGTTGGGAGGGAGGAAAGGAGGCCTTTTGCAATGAAATCCTTGGGTCTGTCCCCATTTTTAGGGGAAACTGAGGTGAAATGATAAGATCTGAGGCTGGGTCCCTGTCCCACCCATTCCAGAGAAAGAGAGGTGGAGGGAGAGAGAGATTCAGGGTATGCCAGCCCACGTGCAGACAGTCTGCAGAGTTCCCCTGTGAGCCAGAGGCAGAGGCCAGTCTCATGTCTGCTGCGTGGCGTTCAGTGGGGAAAGGCCTGGGTCAGAAACACCCTCCCAAGATGCTAAACTATGGGCAGGGACAGAAACTGGAACAATTGCTACAGAGCCCAGCTGGGCTTCTCTTATCCCTCTCACTGATCCTGCCTCTCCCTTTCCTTTATCCCGCCCTCCCGCCCTCTGTGTCCTGCTGCAGAAGCTGCTCCCCCTGCCCTATTTAGCTCCCCAGTGAACCCAGGAGAAGAGGCTCCCACAGCCAGCAAGGAAGAGGAGGATTACTATGAATATTACTAACGTGGTGCCATCCCTCCCCACGGCTGACCGACCCTGCTGCAGAAATCAGAATGGGCAACGACAGGAGAGGGGAAGCAGATAAGCCTGAAGGGCAGGGCTTTTCCGGCTTCCTCTGGCTGGTGCTAAGATGCCCTGGATCCTGTGATCCCAACAGCCATGGGCCAGGTCTCTCATGAAGGACATTAGGATATGGGCAAGAAGCTTTGAAGCTGACTCTCCTGCCACTGGCTTGCCTGGGGAATGCGTGAATGGACTCTTGAGAGTTAGGAAGTGCCCCTACCTAGCATGCTCTAACCCCATACCCTTCATTCAGGCAGTGGTGTTCCAAGGGGTCAAAGGGGCCGTTCTACTGAAGGAGCCAAATGGACGTTGACTAGATGGCCTCACTGCTACTGAACGCTGCAGTAACACAGCTGTCCTCTGGAGAGCTCTGGCTCGCTACTGCGCAATGTGGTGCTCTCGCCGGAAGGGAGGATCGGGCGTTCACACTCATAACCCTTCCACAGAGGAGTGAAATTCCACATGTGTAATGGGGCCAGCACAAAGCCTGGGCATCACTTCAGTCCCACTTAGTCCCTGCTGTGCAAAAGGCCAGCACGAGGGCTATGCTAAAGAGAAGCACAGGCTTTCTCTCATCTTCAGTACCCAGGTAAATGTCACTCAGGGCCTGCATTTTAACGCTCCACATTCCGCTGGGGAACAGGGGGGTGCTGCTGAGGTTACAGTTGTAAAGATCCTACAGTGCTCCAGGGGTGGTAAGGGCTGAGTTGTAGGGGAAAGAAAAATGATGTGTGTGCAGTGCTGGGGAGCACAGTTGGCATGATTTCCCTCTAACCTAGCCAGGAGGAGAAGACTGGAGCTGGATGCATTTCGGGGGAACCTTAGGTAGGTGCACAGGTTCTCTGCATCCCCCTGCAGTGCATCAGAAGCAGGACTGTGCCCAAGCCTGTCCCAGCAGATGCAGGATCCCAATGCATACTGGGCGCTCCTCTTGCCAGAGGATGCAGAGGGTGGAAGGGATGGGGGTGGGAGCGAGGGAGAGTGGAGACTGGAGACTGGAGAGTGGAGCACCTAGTTGAAAGGAGGCTGTATCTGGTTTGCAAGCACTCAAAGAAAGAAAATGATTAGCTGTGAAAGATGCTTCCTATGAGACCTGTAACAGTTTATATCCTATCTGCAGCGAGGGTATAAATAACAGCCTGTTTCCGGGTAGAGAAGAGCCTGGGTCTCATGTATATTTTAAATGATTCCAAATAATTTCATTCCTAGTTATGTCCAGCTGCTGGTGGAATGTGATCTCCTGTGGTTTCTTGCAACGATAACACTTTGCCTTCCATCTTTGCAAACATCAGCTGATTCAGCCTCACAGGAGCACATCATTATCTTCATTTTACAGATGGGGAAACTGAGTTATAGGGAGTGCAAAAAAGTGACTTGCCCAAGGTCATGCAGTCATGAGCAGAGAGGCAATAGTCCCTCTCTGTGGGGCCAGGTTTCATTGTCAGAGAAGCTTGCCCTTTAATTAGATGCTTAAGCAGGTGCTGAAGGTCTTCTGAAAACCTGGACCCAGCTGGGGATGCTGAGACTTACTGAAAGTTCTGGCGTCTGATGTCTCCAGGGTAATCACATCTGGAATATTGTGTTCAGTTCTGGGGACCACGTTCCCAGACGCACATCAACAGACTGGAAGTAGTTCAGAGAAGAATGACAAGGATGATCAAGGAGGTGAGGAAAGATTAAAAGAGCTAAATCCATCTGGTTTAGCTAAGCAATCACTGAAAGGGGACGTAGTAACAGCCTGACAATATTGGAAGGCTGTGAACTCCCAGAAAGGAGGAGGGTTATTTACGGGGATGCAGGGGATTAACTAGGAGGAACGGGATCACAGTTATTATTTGTATTGCAGTAGCCTGAGAGCCCACAGCCCCTTTGTGCTAGGCGCTGTACAAATATATAGCAAAGAGACAGCCCCTCCCACAAAGAGCTTGGAATGCAAGTAATGGTACTAGGAAAGGGAATATCAGGACAGCCTTCCTGATGGTGAGATCCGTCAGGTGGTCTGGGAGCTCCATCACTTGGGACATTGAGAACTAAACTCTAGAAAACAGGCAGTAGGGAAGAATCCTGCGTAGGTCTCTTCTATGAACCCAGGAGTCCTGGGTTCCAGTTCTCTGCTCTAACTGCGAGAGCATGTGAATGCTCACTTGCCAAAGGTCTTTGCAGTAAATCCCCTGTATAATATTAGGATTAGCACAAGATGCTCCCACACGGGTACTTCTTGGGCAATCATGGCCCCTTCCACATTCTTGGGGAAGAGGGTGTGTTAGTGTGAGTTACAGCTTGGTACCCCCCGAAGAGCCCCAGATCTGAAATGTCCATTGCAAAGACCCTTGCACTGGTCTGAACTCATTGGAATCTCTGGCTAACACTTCCCCATCCCAGGTGCCATCTCCTCTTTCCCCAGCCCTTCATCCCGACTCAGGACCTCTCAGGCAGGACAGGAGCAGTTGTGTGTGACCCACAGTTGGGCTTAAAGGGACAGTGGTCTGGGATGGCCACTTACTTTCCCCATCCCACCCTTTTCCTCTCACCCAGTGGCTACTTCTGTTATTCCAAACACCTGGAACAGAGTAACTGGCCTTTCACATGACCTTCAAGTGCCAGTGCCCCATTTCAGCAGGGATTATTATTTTCTGTAGGTGTGAACAGCCCCGAGGACATTGTGGTCTCTACCATCATGCAAAAATTATTATAATTATTATTAGCAATAAAGTGATTGAAATAATAAAATACAATCTGTTTAATTTCATTTATCTTAACTAGAAATGGGCCCAAACAGCTACCCTCGAGCCAAACCTGCCCAAATGTTAGAGACGTTTGTGTATGGATCTGGATCTGAAGGCTGCAATGGACCCCATGGGGACACTGGATTCACACGTCCCCAGATTTGGGGAAAGCTCAGATTCATATCTGGTTCTGGAACCGAGCTTGGGGATTCAGGCCTGATGGTGGTGGTCTCTCATCCCGCAGCCCGATCTGTGATTTCAAGTTAAAATGAAATACGCCAAAGAAGCATGAGGTCTGCAGTGCAAATTCTTCCCTCCACCCCAGCAGATAGCAAATTGGAATGTTCAGTATTCAGGCTGCCCGCTTGGCTGAAAGTGGCTACATGCCTTATACTGTAACAATAAGGGTGATGCAAAGGAGCTGCCCAGATGGCAATAACATTCCTCGTCCAGCACCCCTTCCCTTGGCTCGCACTGGAACAGGCTGCTGGAGTTAAAGAGATATTCATCCAGGCAGGAACCCCAGCAGCCTGGCATCCACTTGCAAATAGGGACTAATCCCATCAGAATGCCCTGTGTCCCACTGAAGGGAGTATAGATCAGATATTCTTGAGATTTATCAGTACACTGATGAGGTGGTTCCGGTCTGATAGTCCCTGGGTATCCATCCAGATGCTGAGGGAATGTGGACCACTTTCCAGCTTCCGAGGCTCCCAGAGAATCAATGTGGTTCAGAAATATTACAGATGCCCCCAGTGTGGTTGAAGCAACACGGAACCAGATACATTTACCAGATGCCTAATGTGCCAATGCAATGACAAGGGATGAGTATACCTCGGCTGCCCACTCTGCCAGCAAAAGCACACAGCTCAGATAGCATCTGGCTGTGTAATCTGCTAATCTTCAAATCTTCAGTCCCCCAGATGCCCAACATGGGGAGATTCTGCTTGGATATTCCTAGGATTCTCAATATGCCAGGGAAGGGATGCAGGTCAGATAGTCCACAGACACCTGGAATGTCATGGCTCTGATATGTCTGGATGAACCATCTGGTGAAGTATGGATCCTATTCATAGGCTGCTCGACATACCAATGAAACAATGGAAAGAGAAAAAGTATCTCTGAGCATCTCTCTAAGTACACCAAAGTGCCCTCAGCATGCTGTCTCCAAGCGGAGCTATTTCAGTGTCAGTTTTCTTGTCCCTGTAAAATATAGTGCCTCTGGAATTTGTTTGCAGAAACAAAGCTGTGTGCATGGGGGCTGCATGGAATAATCATTGGGGCATCTTCAGATGGAAGTCCTGAGCAGTCATGGCTGTTAAAGATCCCATGGCACTTTCCCTAAGAGTCACGGAGCCAGACTTTGATCCCAGTTACACCAGGGCAAATACAGAATAGCTCCACCGAAGTTGATGGAGCCATTCCAGATTTACATTGGTGTAACTGAAATCACAATCTGGCCTTTTGCATTAACCCTGGTGTCCCGGCCAAATCTGTTATTCTATTCTGCCTCCTTAAATCCCCCTGGCGGTTCAACTGGGTTTGGGATTCTTCTTCACTTGCTGTCCTAAACTGCTGTGTAATGATGCCATGTTGCCGCTACACAGCTGCTGCCTCCTGCCCCAGAGGTGGCTGTGTTTCAGTGGGAGGGGGGTGGGCCAAGTGATTCTTGGACATCTTGTTTGCAATGTGTTACTTACGGGTGAAAGATGCTATATAACATAATGCAGCATTATTGTCAGTCTCGTTAGAGACCTGTCCCCTTTATTGTCGCCGTATCCAAAACCGTAAATGCCTGCCACAACACCACCTCTGCATCGTAATGGGAATCAAATGGCCCGACAAAATCACCAGCAATGAAGGACTATGGCTGGCAGCCATGCTAGCGCGAGGAAAATGACTTGGGTTGGAACAATTGACTGCCTAAGAAAGTTCCATGCAGTGCATTTGAAAAAGGCAGTAAGAAGACTGGCTACCCAAAACACTGCTACAAGGAGCATCATACAGTCTGTCAGGCTGGACTTAATGACCTAGGAGGATAGGGGCCATGGCAGGCGAGCTTGGTACTCTGCTACGAAGCAAGCAAAACGTGCAACAGAATGTCATCGCTCCATCGTGCCCGACAGCAGGAGGGAACGTAGACACTGACTTGCCTTGATGTGTTTCCTGAACCCTACAGGTGGAAGCTGATGTCCAGGCTCAGGCATACTCAAATGCAAGAGACTGCCATTATTACTATTATTATTGCCAGTCACATAGAGAACAAGGGGGGATGAACTGGCCACTGGAGGGTGCTCCAACAGATGTAGACTTACACACAAGGGTGCCTAGTTCATGCAAAGCACATGCCACCTGCTTCCGCTCAGACCCTCCCTTACTTCTCCAGAGGGGCCAAGCCAGCCCCGTTTGCCAGCAGGGGGCAGGGAAGCCCATGCAGTGAGCTCATGTGTGCACTTTCTCCCCTAGGTTCTCTCTTGTAACTAGTGCGTCCCAGCCCCATTGTCTGAGGGCGTGGGATCCTCTCACCCACACTGTGTGAGCCCGGGACGCCCAAAGCAGTAGCACACAGCGCCAAGTTAAATCAAGTTCCATTGCATCAGATGTAAGCGCCCTGTTTCCACTGTCCCTCAATATCAAAGACAGCTTACACTGCCAGCAGGCACAGGAGCTTAGCCTGCCACTGCTCAGCTGGCCCCGCGCTGTGGTTAAAGACAGGCGTCCAGCCTCCAGGAAGTGAAGCCAGTGTCTCCCGGCACCAGGACATTTGCTTTCTCCTGCTTTGCATGACTGCCTGTTGCCTCATTTCCCTGGAACCACCTCATTTACCTGCTCTGGGGTGCTGGCATCAGGGGCAAGGTGGCTGTTTCTTTAAAGCTCATAAGTAAAGCATGGAGCAGGTGCAGAGAGCCAATGCAAGCAACAGAGAGAGCGAGAAAGAGAGAGAGAGCATAAATCCCCAGAAAACCCATCCCCCAAGAGCCCCACACCTCTGTGATTTGGGGCTCCTCACAAACTGAATGTACCTGGGGCAGCTGGACCCTGACTTCATAAGGGATTAAACAAACCTTCTGGCTTCAAATGAGCCCCTCTCTAATCCAGATGGGCCTGCAGATCCCAGGGCACGTTGGGGTATCGTGTGGTACGACAAGAGCCCAGAGTCTGTCCAAGAATAAAGAAAAGGAGTACTTGTAGCACCTTAGAGACTAACCAATTTATTTGAGCATGAGCTTTCGTGAGCTACAGCTCACTTCATCAGATGAAGTGAGCTGTAGCTCACGAAAGCTCATGCTCAAATAAATTGGTTAGTCTCTAAGGTGCCACAAGTACTCCTTTTCTTTTTGCGAATACAGACTAACACGGCTGTTACTCTGAAACCTGTCCAAGAATAGTGGAGTTGGGTGGGAGGAGCGGGTTCTGACCGTTGCCTGTGCCTTTTCTGGCTAGAAGGAGGGTGATAATAAAGTAAAAACAAAAGTGTATAATTGGTGTCTTTGTGGAGTGTGTAGGAATTGGGTAGTATTCCTTTAAATAGTTTGTGAGCCCTCTAGCGATGCTCACTGAGCTCTGTATTTCCGAAGCTGCCAGAAACCAACCAGGGTAGTGGTGCTGTTGTAACCTATACTGTGTTGCTAGGCCTGGTGTGTTTGTGTATAGTTAGTAAATACAGCTATCTGGGATCCAGCTAAGCCCCCTGGGGTGTCTTCAGATTGTTGTTGTGGTGTAAAGAGCGAAAGACTCAAGAGTGTCTGTGTGTACAATTTGTGCATGTGTGTGCATGTACAGCCTGTGGATGAGGGGGTACAATCGGTGTGTGTGTAAGCATCTCTGTGTGTCAGTGCGTACAGCTTCAGTGTGACAATGTGTGTGTCCCTGTGTGTCCGTGTTTTCAGTCTCTGGGTGTCAGGGTGTGTATCTCTGTGTGTCAACGCATACAGCCTCGGTGCGTGAGTGTGTGTGTCTCTGCGTGCAGTGTGTGTGTGTGTGTCAATATGTACAGCCACGATGTATCAGTGTGTGCTTCGGTGTGTCAGTGTGTACAGCCTCAGTGTGTGTGTGTCTTCTGGTGTCAGTGTGTACAGTCTCCCTTGTCAGTGTGTGTATCTCTGTGTTTGCGTGTACAGTCTGAATGTATGTCAGTGTGTTAGCATGCAGTCTGTCTGTGGACATAGCAGCACTCAACAACAGCGCCTGTAGCTGCCCTTTCTGGTAAGATCGCAAATACAGGAAGCTGAAGTGTGAAACGTATATGTTTAGGAAAAAAAACAAACAAACCCCGACCACACGTCACATGCTCATGAAATGAGATAGGGAGCAAACCCAACCCTGAAGGCAGAAGCGGGCGGGTGTCTGCGGCGGGAAAGAGTTAAACTGAAGGGCCGGGAGCTGGACCTAGAAGTGGGGAGTGGGCCAGTTGAGGGAGAGGTGTTAAGCATGGGTGAGAGGTGGGAGGTGTGAAAGATCGAGGGAGATAGAGGGGAGGGCCCGGACAGGAAAGTGCGTGTGACAGCGGGGCAGAGCGAGAGGATGCTCCTTGCTAGAAGATGGATGAGGTGGTTGTGAAACAGGGGTTACTGTACCTCCAGCAGCAGCAAACCTTCGGGAAGGTAAGGACCGACCTGGGCATCTTTGCCGGGGCTGGAGGCTGGTTACTGAAGCTTCTAGCTGCTCTTGACTGGGGACTCCCATGTGCTGCCTGGGCCCTGGGCTTCCTCCATCCTGGACTCAGACAGCGCCTGCCTCTGTGTCCCTAGTTCGCCATCTTGCCTTATTGCAAAGTGGGACAGTTTGCAGGGCTGGCCCCTCATCCCTGGCGGGGCCCTGTCACTGTGCTGTACCCGGGCTGGGAACGGCAGTAGGGTCACAGAGCCAGACTGGTTTCCTAGGGGTTTAAATGCCCCACGCATGGGACTCTCTGGGGAGACGAGGCCCCGCTTCACACTCTCCGCCCCATTAAGAACCCCCTGGATGTTCTGCCTAAACAGTCTCTTGCCCAGTTTCACCCCACTGAACCTACTGTGATGTGCCCCCTCCAGCATCCCCCCTTCTGCTACCCGGCTGCTGCCCTGGTGACTCAACTGGGCACAAGCTGCAGCTCACCAGAACTTCCTCCCTCTTGTAGGAAGCCCTCATCTTGCCCGGTGACTCCCAGGAATGAGTCACATCCCTCCAGAGGAGAGCGTAGGCAGAAGCTGAAGTCTCTGACTTGTTGTCCCACGGCTCAAGGCAGATAGGGCCTGAGACTCACAGTACAGAGACGGGGACAATCTACTCTGGGGATGGGGAAGGGGAGGGCAGCAGGGATTTGCCTTCATTGCACTGACATAGGCAACTTGCCAGGGGCCTCACAGTGATTGGCATAAACATGGACTGGGCTTTAAAAAAACAACATCGCTGTTTTGCAACTGCAGCAGGAGCTCCCCCACCCCAACACCGCGCTCCCTGCTTGCTCCTGCGTTGCAGGAGACCCCTGCTTCCTCAGCTCATTTCTGATCTACAGTGTCACAGGACCTCCCCTGTGCTCAGCATCCCTGCTCACACCCACTTGCTCTGCTGCCGGGGCACCCCCCTCTCAGATCTCCCCTGACCCTGGCTCTGTTCCCCTGCTTCTGTGCAGCATTTTAGGAGCTTTCGTACTTCTGGGCAGGTCTCAAGATGATCCAGTTGCAAGGATCCCGGCTGGGCTCAGGTTGCAAAGAACTCCCCTGAAAGCAGAAGTCTGCACCGCTAGCTTTCACCTGCTTGCAGTGCATATTAGTTTGTGGAAAGGTTCCTCTGGAAATCCTGCAGCCAGACCAAAATGGGAGTTCAAACCCCAGAGCACTGCCTGCCATCTCCTGCAGGAGCTGAGCTGTCAGGGGAAACTCACAATGATTTCCCTGTGCACATCCCCGGGGAGACCCCCCCAAATGTATGTCCACACTGCCGTAAACCCCGCCACCCCCCACCCCCCACTGCACTGAGTCTCAGAGCTGCGGTCAGCTGACTTGGACTTGTGGGGCTAAAAGCAGTGTACACATCTGGGCTTGGGCTGGAGCTCAAGGTCTGAGACCCTACCCGCCATAGGGTCGCACAGGAAACTCAATACTGCAATTTTGTAGCTCTGAAGCCCGAGTCTGCTGACCTGAGCCAGCTGCAGTCATGCCGTAGTCTTTTATTGCAGGGTAGACGTATCCTTAGATACCTGGGCATGAGCCCTGGGATGCAGGAGGTGCACTGTTAATAGAGATGGACCCTAACTGGACTCCTGGGTCCAACATCCCCCTAGACTCCGGGAAGTTCAGAACTGGGTGCAGGCATTGGCTCCTGGGGCCAGGTCTAGCTTTCAAAGAAAGACAAAGGCCAGATCATCAGTGGATATCAATTGGCCTAAGCTCCCTGATTAACACCAGCTGAGTGTCTAGCCCACGGTGAACAGTGAGAGGTGATTGTTTCCCCCAGACCTTTTCTTTGGAATCGCACATTTGCAGCACTGTTAGAAACCTCAGCTTCCCCTTTCTCTTGTACTGGTGTAACTACGGAGTTACTCCTGATTTACCCCAGTGTGAAGGAGAAGGGAGTCAGGCCTCTGTACCACATTCAGAGACAAGAGGACGCAAGGGGTTGTTCACAGAAATAGGCTCTTTCTCCTGTTGGTCAGCTGATCAACGTAGCCAGTGCTGGTGGTAACCAAAAGGCATTTCTGTGTGCTGCCTGCAGGCACCAGGGAGGGAGGATCTCAGTCCAGATCCCTGCCCTCAAGAGTCTGCATCGCAAAAAACAAGCATGGTGCTGACTAGCCCTCTGGCAGTGGGCAGCCTAAAGGGGGCTGGAGTTCCTCTGCTATTTCCAAGTGGCTCCCTAGGGTTGCCAGCCCTCCAGGACTGTCTCCAGGAATTAAAGATGAATCTTTAATTAAAGATTGTGTCATGTAATGAAACCTCCAGGAATACGTCCAGTCAAAATTGGCAACAGCTCTAGGCCAGGGTGGGGAAGGTTGCCTAGCTGTGGCTTCAGTTTCGTGGCTGAGCAGCAGATTCCATTCACCAGTGCTAGACGTACATGTGAAATTGAATAGTAAACACTCCTCCACCCCCGTCTGCAAATGTCAGTGCCGCATGTGTGATCTGTGTGCGAGAGCCTGGCTCACAGGCCTTGAGCGCAGATGGAGCATATCCTCTTAGCAGATAACCAAATGAATGTTTGCAGCCCTGGCTATTTCGGTCACTGTCAGTAGCTCACTGCCCACCCAGCGAAACGCCTCCCACTCCCAATGCTGGGCTAGACAGGGCGTCCTGGCCTCCCCTCCCCTCCCAAGGAAGATGGGTGCGGTGTTGTAACACATTAGAGCAGAGCAGGCAGGACACCAGATAACCAGCATCTTTGACCTGTGGCAGCTGTTCCCCGATGAAAGTTTAACCCAACCAAATAGCCTGTGGCCACACTGCGGAGATCAGTGCGGGAAGATGGGGAAGCTGTTTGGTGCACGGCATATGCAGGTTGTAGATTGCCCTTGGCACCACTCTCGAGCCATGTACACGGAAAGGTCACGTTCTCCTCAGTTAAAGCGAGGGCTTTGATTCAGCTGGTGCACAGTGGGGAGGTAAACTGGACCCTATTTCCTTCTGCCTACTTATTCTCCAGAATCTAAACTTTCATTCTGTAACGCAAAGGAAATCTCTAGCTGTTCTGGTTGTCGAGCTAGCTTCAAAAATGTGACACAAGTCTGTCCCTGATGCAGTGACGTCTGCCTGCTTTTGCAGAATCGGAAACAGTCTAGGGCCTGATCCAAAGCCCACAGTAGTCAATGGCAAGAGTCCATTTCACTTCAGGAACCTTTAGATCATGCACTTAGGCATCAATTGGCCCCTAAGTGAAGAAGCTGCCACAAAGACATCATTTGCGAGGTGAACCTGCTGTCTTGGCAGCAGCTCAGCTGGTCAACTTGGCAACAGTATTTCTGACAGAGCCATTTCAGGGCATGTATACATAGATATCTGTATAGCCGCTCTGAGTCCAGGTTAAGAGTGTCTATCTATCTATCTAACTATCTATCATTTTTATCCTGCTGCCTATCACTACAGTATCTGAGCTCCTTCCACATAAAATCAAGAGCACTAGTGAAGTCTCTAGCAGACTTTGTGGAGCCTCTGGCTGTTCAAGTGAACGTAACCTGCACCAACATAACGAAAGGTCTGAATGAAAATCAGTGTTGGTGTTTCTTGTCCAGCGTGTGTGTGTTTAGACCAGCCCCTTGAGGCACATCTACACAGCCAGCAGCCACCCACCGAAGCGAGCCCCCAAGCCCAGGTCAACAGACTCAGGCTCGCAGGGCTTGTGGTTCAGTGCTAAAAAGAGCTGTGTAGATAGGAGACAGCACTTTGAAGTTGTGGCTTGGGCTGGAGCTTGGGCTCTGCAGCCAACCCCCCTCCCTAGGCTTCAGACTTCTGCAGCCTCCACCTAGGTATTTTTAGTGTGATAGTGTGAAATGTGCAAGCCCAAATCTGTCAACAAGGGCTGGGAGGCTCACTGCCATGAGCAGTGTAGATGCACCCTGAGCCTCAGTGCCTTTGTGGGTTGTCTGGGATGTTTACAGGAGCTAATTAAAAGTAAACACTTAAGGGAAAATTTTCAGAAGCCTCTAGGGCACAGAGTGGGGGTTAAGTGTCTAAATGCTTTTGAGGATCTGGATCTAAAGGAGCCCAGATCCAGTTGACTTGCAGTGGAGCTTGGACTCCTAAGGCACAGGTGCTTTTGAAATTGTTACCCTCGTGGCCCTTTTTAACACTCCAGGGTGGAGACATGGACCATGTCATCCCTGCAGTAAGAGGTGTGTTTGCATTGGTAAACCCTAGTGGAGAGAAGGCACTGTGGTTTTTACTGTGAAGTGGCTAGGTGAGCTTAAACCCTGGTATGTGGATACATGGTTAAACTCCAGTAGTCGCACCAAGGCATAAACTGCCGTTGGCTTGTCTCCCCTAGGGTTTGCATCAAGCTAGCTATCAATGCAAACACACCTCTTATTGAAGTGAAAATAGTCCATGGCTCAAGTCTGTCTTGATGTAAAAACACAGCTGTTTTTTTTGCCATAAAGATGTGGGAATAGCTTTAGTTTTCCATGTAAAACAAACCAGCTGTCCCCAGGAGACCATTTCCAGCCCAGACATTGCAGCCTTGGGCTAGAGCATGAGAGTCAGGAAGTGAAACTTCCTAGGAACCCAAAGGCAGAGTTGACTAACACCCGCATGTTTCTGTTCCTTTGGCTTCCTTCCCCCCGGTCAGAAATGGAGGAAGTTCTGGGCAATGCTGTACCAGGAGAGCTCCTGCTCCTGCGCCCACCTGGAGCTCTTCGAGGGCTCCGGGCCTCCCACTTCCGAGAAGCCCAAGAAGGCTGAGAGTGGCAAGAAGCTCATCAAGTTGAGTAACTGTGTGCATGTAGCTGAGGCTAATGGGGACACCAGCAGCCCCAAGGAGACTGTCCCTTTCATCCTGGAGACCACGGACAAGCGCTACCTGCTGGCAGCTGAAAGCACCGAAGTGGCCAACTGGGTCCTCACCCTCTGCAATCTGGCCTTCGCGGTGAGAGTGGGAGCATGCTTCCTGTGGTGGTGGGGAGCGATAGGGGCATGTAGAGGGGTCCTTAGGAGTGAGGAGGATGCCAAGGATCTGGAGAGAGGTGTTCAGTGGGTGGGGGACTTGGAAAGATAGAGCACCAAGGATCTAGGGGACAGGGGCCCCCGGGGAGATCAAGAGCTCCAAGAGCTGGGGTTTCCATGGAGGTGGGTGTTGGAGGGGGCCAGGGAGAATGGACGGCCCAGCTTTGCCCATTAGTACTGAGCTTTGGCCTTCGCTGAGGTGTTGCTCAGAGTCCTCAGGGTGCTTTCTCAGGCCAGCTCTGGTGTCCCCTGTGTCCTTCACAGGGTCTCCAAGCCCCTGTTGGTCTGGGGAGCAAGAGGAGCCTTGGCAACTCAACAAAGAGCCCCAGGCACTGGGAGATGAGGTTGCAAGAAGGGGGATGCCCTCTCCATCAGCTCTGGCATCTGGATCTCAGTGCTGGGGAGGAGACACCACATGGGCCCAAATCTGCGTGGCTGGACCTGGGCTGCCCCAAACTCACCCATTGCTCTTCCCTGTGGGTTCCAGAGGAGCAGGGATGAACGGAAGGCAGCAGTGGGGAAGGACAGCCACCCGATCTCGCTATCCATGGAGGAGAACTCCCTGTACAGCTCCAGGGCCAAAGGTAGGGTGGGAATGAGAGACCCTGGCTCTGCGTGTGTGTGTACGTGTGCGCGTGTGTTTTGGAAGTGCAATTAGTTCTAGCAGAAGGTGCCGGGTCAGCAGGCACCGGAGACTGGACCTGTCTGTTCAATTCCATAGAACCCACAGGCTAGGAGATGAGATACCTAGAGACATGGACAGAGCCACTGTGAACATGCAGGTAAATAGATGCAGCATTGGGGTGTGTGTGTGTGTGTGTGTGAGAGAGAGAGAGAGAGAGAGAGATAGAAATTGGATAGACCGATCATTGAATGTGCATGGTGTGGGTATAAGGATGAATATGTATGTCCGCAGAGAGACAGGCAATGTGTGGCGAAAGCCAGCCAGCCAGCCGGATGAGTGGAGTGGGCACAGAAGGGGCAGAGGCAGGGCACAGCAGAGATGAACCCCCCAGCAGAGTGATTCAAGTGGTTTGTTTTCTTCTTTCTGAGAGGAAGTGAGGAAAGGGGTGGGGTGGGGGGGTGGGAGGGTGGATGGAGTAATAACACCTTGCCCTGGCGGAACCCGAAACCACTGTCAAGTGTGACTCAGCTGTGATCCCAGAGCCCTGCTGGGCGCTTACAGAAGAGCAGACCTCTCGATAGCTCTCGCTGGGGCTGCTGGGAAATGTAGGACCATGCTTCATCTTTGCAAAGAGAGACATGCCCTCTCCTTCGCCTGCCAGCTCCGTACTTGCTTTGGGGGACACTCAGACGGAAGCTTAATATCCCAGAGCCCTGGGGCCTTGAGCCAAAGCCCACTGAAGTCAATAGAAAGATTCTCATTGATTTCTAAGAGCTTTGGATCAGCCCCTTGAAGCCTATTATCTCTTGCCACCAGCCCCAGCTTGGCAGCCATATGCATCTTTGTTCCTTGCTTTCCCTGGCATACTGCCAGACTCAATTGCATCGCTCCACATTAATCCCTTGGTTCCCAGGCTATTGGCATCTAGACTTGCCCCCCAGTGCACACTTTGGTGCATTTTGCCCTTCAAACCCACCAGGTCCCATTTCTAAGTAGAATCCACTGCTGACCAGCTCTCAGGGAGTATCAACTTCCTGCTACTTGAGTAGCTGACCCAACGGGGGCTAGAACCAGCAGCCGAGTGATCCAGGGACCATCAGCGATCACCTCATTCACGTTACCACCAACATGCCACTGGCTTGTAACAAAGCGGCAAATTGACATAATGATGAGGCTTAATATAACAATGCTTCCCAAGTCTCACTCCCTGTGATGTGTTTGGTCCCTTGGGAGACCCTTGTTCTCTGGGGTCTCCTAACCTGTTTCTGCCTCCTTCTTCACCCCCTTCCCTTGGGCATCAAGCTTTTGCTTGTGACACTCTTCACTTGGGGGAACTTCATTAGACACCAGAAGCCTGCAGCCAGCCTCTGGGCCCAAGTGCCCTTCAGAGAACTGGGAACGCACCTGAAACTGTTGCAGACCTAGTTGCAGCACATCAGGGTTGTGTCCACATTCGAAGCCACATTACAACCATGTTCAGAGAATCCGTAGCATGGTTCTCAGAACACAGTCCCGGATTTACCCAGGCCAGAGAGACTGTACCCAGGTAGGAAGGAAGGGAGTCTAATGGTGAGCTCAGAGGAGGACCTTGTCAGTATTCACTTGGCTCTTATTATTTGTGTTGCCTTAGTGCTTAGGAGCCCTAGTCGCACACCAGGACCCCACTGCGCTAAGTTAAAGATTAAACCTGGAGCCTTAGCCCACGCTCCAGTTAAGCGATGCTGCTAATTTTGAATCGGAACATGGCTGCCGCAACAGCGCAGCCCTGCTCTTTGCAAGAAGTGTAATGGAAAATCAGCTTCATAAATAGCCCTTGTGCGCTTCCTGCTTTGTGGTTTGGTAGAACTGTGCCTTGCGCTGATAACTGGCCGCTCGCAACTGTCCCTTGTCGATCTTGCACCATTTCCCATGAGAGCCCCTCAGCCCTGCACTCCTGGTCTGAGGAGTGACTGAAGGCACAGAGCCCATGCGCCCACTCCCACAAGGCCATGGGAACAGGCTGTCAACCCTGCGTGCCAAGTAGCGCAGCTGGGCTGGGTGGTTTAAGTGAAGGGAGAGGAGCGTGGGGTGGGGGAACGAGACAGCTGGCAGCCACATGAAAAGGGAAATTGAGGCTCTGGCTATGCTGCTGACTTGCAGGGTGACCTTGGATCAGTCACTTCTCTGTGCCTCACTTTCCCCATCTGAGCAATGAGGGTAACGTGACTGAGTCAGCACTGCACAGAGCTTGGGGATCCTCAGAGGAAAGGGCCTGTCTGAGGGCAAAGTGTTCTGAATGGGAATGTTTATATAGGGAAAGGGGTGAAATGCAGTGGCCAGAAGGGGCACTGTTTCCCTCTGCCTCCATCTCTTGAGTGCTGCTGGAAGGCATGTGGGGACCTGACAGATCTGGTGCCCACAAACACAGCAGGAGTGTCACACACACTTGGCTCGGGCTCAGTTTACCAACCGACCCACAGACGTCAGCCTGTTGCAAACATCCTGCTCAATCATCAATGTAGCAACCTCTCCAGGTCAAAGGCAGCCTGAGTAATGGACCTGGGATCCTTTCAGGGAAGTGGAAGGGCCCCAGGGGCTGCTGGGGAAGGAGCAGAGACTAATCCTCCCAGAGCACAGTCTCTGCCTTACAGGGACCCATAGGGTGGGCTAGCAAAAGAAAATCACCCCCACTCCAGGACATTGATCATGTCTTGGCTTACAGGCTGAACCTATGAGAAGAGGCATGCCAAGCACGCTTGCTAACTCACATGCTTGTGTGTATGCACACAGTTGCACATTTGTACACCTTCCCACCTGGAAATATATACCTGGGGATTCGCACATGCAAACGCACACACAATCTCACTTGCATGGGCACACACTTTTATGCACGCACATGTGAGCAGACACAGTCACTCTCTCTCTCTCTCTCTCTCTCTCTCTCTCTCTCACACACACACACACACAGCCTTTTGTCTGCTGGATTAAACAGCAGCATTGGCAGAGAATTGAGAGCAAAGGGCCAAATCCATGACTGATGTAAATTCAGGGGTGAGTCTGGCTCAGTGTCTTGATCCAGCCTGCACCTCTCCCTTGATCTCATCTCCAGCCTGTGCCTGTCTCAGGTTTCTTCAGATGGTGAGTCACTGCCTTTTTATCCACCCTCTAAAGGAGAATGGGATAGCCTGTCCCTCTGCTATGCTATCAGCCCGTGAGAAGGCAACACACTCACCTCCCTCTCTCAAAGAGGGCCAAGGGTCACGTTGCAGGGAGCAGATAAGCCACAGGGAGTTTGTGCTGGGCTACATAGCACTTGGCAAACTACTACAGGAGAGAGGCCTGCCCTGAGCTGAACTCGGGGCAAGTGGGGTGCTAGGGAAGTGGGAATGGTCTTGCTTGTTTGGCAGGGCCGGGGGAAGATCTGCAGCCTGCTGGGTTGCTTTTGAATGCACCTGTCAGGACCGTGCCCTGGCTACAGAGGGCTGTTTAACATGGAGTGGGGGCGCAAGTCGTGTCCCAAGGCTGCCAGCATCTGACATGGCTCTGGGGAGAGGCTGACCTGCATTCTCAGTGTGGAGCTGGCCTGGTAATAAGAATAAATACCATGCCTAGGATTTTCCCTCACAAAGCTCTTTGCAAACCGCTCACCTAAGAACCGCTTGACTCCCCTCTGAAATGTTCCTGCCTCCAGGGTGGAACCTGACAGCTGGTAAATAGAGGCCCAGGAATCTGACCCGGCAGCTTAGGACAGGAAGGGGAGAAGAAGCAGGATCCAGTTGAAAGTGTAGGGAGCATGTAGGGAGATGGAGGATATAATTGTCCAAGCTGGAATTTGGACAGGACACTGGGTTAGAACACCCCTGTTCTTGGGGGAAGTGCCCTGGGCTCAGGACCTGGGGTTTGTGTTCCTCTGAAAGATGGAGGATGGGTCTGCTTCTCCTCTGCCTTTCACCTGGTGGAGTCATTTACACTCGGGCAAAGTGAGTGCCAAATGCGAGCTCTGGCGTGAGTGGAGGATTCCAGGGTGGCACCCACTGTGCCCAGCTATGAATGATGGCACAAAGCGCCAGGGGAAGGGGAGAATCCGCCCTCCTCCTCTCTAACAGATCCCATGCTCAGGTGATGAGTGCGGTCCAGACAGATTGGCCAGCTCACCACTGACTGCAAGGGGAGAGTGCCCTCTGCTTTGTCACCTTCATTGTTCTCTGCCACATGGCACCCCCTGTCATCACACGAGGGCATAGGGCACTGACCCAGAGGGAGCGTCCTTTCCTGAGTTACCCGCACCCCTTATCACAGCACCATGGGCTTTTTGGAAGTCTGCCATCCTTGTGCCTACGTTGCGTGGCTGATAGCACAGTGTGAATCTGAGGTGCGTTTGGATCAGAGTTCGGCTCCCACGGTGGCTGCCGGAAGCTCTCGGTGAGCGCAGGGCTGGGTACAGCCCTTGCAGATCCCAGCCCCGTGGCCTTTTAAGGCGGCTGACGTGACACACTCCGTGTTCCGCCTCCGGCAGAGCTGGGGGACACGAGGGCCCCGGTGAGGCCTCGCGGGCGTTACAGCACCTGCGCCGAGCAGGAGGGGGATGCGGCGTGGCAGCAGGAGCATTTGCATCTCTCGGCCCCACTTGCTGAGCTGAGGGAGCCCTGACAGGAACAGGAAGGATGTGGTGGGCTCATCTCGAGGAAAGTTCACCTTGCATTGTGCCAGCTGTGTCACACTGCAGGGCTGGGGAGAAGTGGGGGCAGCAGGGGGCAGAGAGGGGAATTTACGTCCGTGGGCGTGCTGCATGGGGTTGTTCAGAGATAGCAGGCCTGCTTCTCCGACTGGGGGCACATCCCCTCACTGATGCACTGTTGATCTCTTAACAAAGGGCTCTTGGAAAGCCCCTTACCAACATCCCAGGGTCCTGGGTGCTACAGGGAATGAGGAATCGAGTTAGCTGATCTCCCACAGAAATGCCAGTCCTGTTTCCAATCCACAGCCGTGGGGCAGAGCAGTGCTGCCAGGCAAGCAAACTGCGGGGAGCTGATAGGCGAGTGCACTATAGTGTTCAGCTTGGGTGGCTTGAAATGGGGGAAGTGGGTTTATGTGCGAGAGAGGCTGTCTGCATTAGCATGTCTGCCTGTGTGCGGCCGTGAGCCTGCGTCTGGAACGGGGAGCGCATGTGTGACTCTGCGTGTGAAGATCTTGCAAGGGAATCCAGGGGCTTTGGGGGTTCTCTGGGCCTCCCCCCCCCCGGCGGGGCGGGGAAGGTTGTTTCTGAGACATTTCTGCTGTGCATCCCAAGGGAAAAGCATTTGCCTTTTAGGAGTGTTTTGAGGAGCCCCAGGAATGAGGCAGAGGAATTGGTCCGAAAGCCTCCCTCAGTCTGAGGGCAGCTCCTGGCAGCACCTCACTAATACCCATCAGCTCTCAAGAAGGCTGGAGATTCCCTGGTCTTTAGCCTCTCACCTGCCCCCCACCCCCTGTGGGGTAAGCCACCTACCATGCCACATGACATCATCCCCAGTCTAACCATTGTATGACGGTGCCATTGGCCCATATGGACGTGGGCCATGCTGGTTCCCTCTCATCAGGCTGAGAGCCCAGCAGCTCTGTCTGTGGCATGTCCTACTCCACACTGGTTATGTAGGACACAGCCAGGCCTGGTGGTAGCTGCACTCCCCCCACCTCTGCGTTGCTACATTAGCAGACGACATGCCTGCCTGGGTACGTGCTGTTGAGCCGCAGGCTCCCAGCAGCAGGGCTGACAGTGTGAGGGGGACCTGGGGAGCTCGTGTATTCATGCAAAATTCACGAGGTGCAGTGCGGAAGGGCCGAGAGCTGCAGCATGGCCAGCAGGATCACCTCTAGCACATGTTCCTTTGCAGCCGCGGCCACTAAGGAGTTCCAAGTGACAGTGAGGGTCACGGAGGCCTCTGAGCGCTGCCTCCTCTGGGGCAGCTTCATCCTCCGAGCTGAGGACGAGGCCCTGGAGCTTCAGGACCTGCAGACGGGGAGCGTGCGCTATACCTGGCCTTATAAGTTCCTGCGGAGATTTGGACGGGATAAGGTAATCGCAGACCCGGAGGGAGGGAACAGCTCCTTTGAGGTGCAGGGTGTGGATGGGGGCTATCAGATCAGGAAGCTAAGCAGGAAGTCTGTTAAAAGTCAAGCATCCTCCTGTCAGCATGGCTGGGCCTGGAGTAGCTGTCAGCTGGCACTCACATGCCATTTGTTGTAGCCCCTTCTGCCAGTAACTGGGAGGTGAGCGCTTCTTACAGCCTGTGCTCCTGCCCAGCTCACTAGAGCCTCACCTACTGGGAGCTGGAAGCTCCCCCCACAGCCAGCACCCTGCTAAAACTGCGGTAGTTTGTGAGCTTCTCCAAGATAAAACATGTGTACTATCCTGCTGGGGGGAGGCAGGGACTGGAGTAGCTGTGACATCCCCCTTGCACAAGCCAGAGCTCCTGCAGGGAGACTGAGCCCCCCTTTTGTGTCAGGACACCCTTGTCCCTCTTGCATAGGTCACGTCAAGGCAGGCAAGGAGGGTTTTCTTGGGAACAAACACCTAGATAGCCAGGTGAGAAAATTATCCATGGGGCACAAATACTGCCCTGTAGGGAGTAGGTATAATGGCCCTCAGTATGAGTCATCAGCTGGGTTTGATCCTAGAGCCTTCTGATCCCTAGCACAGGGATTTCGCACGTGAGAGCAAGGAGAGTTAGTTGGCAGCTGTAGTATGTTGTTATCCTCAATGTGGTGGGGGCTGCTGTACCCACACAGTGCTGGGGATATGACACTGCTTGGCTTTGCACCCCTACCAGGTGACCTTCTCCTTCGAGGCCGGTCGAAGATGCGCCTCTGGAGAAGGCAACTTTGAGTTTGAGACCACGCAGGGCAACGAGATCTTCCAGGTCATTGAGTCAGCCATCAACGTGCAGAGGGGCCTTGGGGCAGATGAGCCACGGTGGGTCGGCCCTGCTGACGATGCCGTCAGGGTTCCCGTTCCTGTTAGGACCGTGAGCCAACCCAGGGATGGCGAGGGGAGGGTCTCAACTGGAGGGTCCCTGCTGCACCACAGGGCCAGCACCAAATGCCTCTCCCTGGAGTCCAGCTTGGAGGGGAAGCCAGCCAAAGGCAAATCAGTGAAGCCCACCGCCAGCTTCCCCCTGTCCGGGGAGCCCACAAGCAGCTTCATCTCCCCTGCTGACTGCGAGTTGCCCTACGCGGAGCCACGCGACTCCCTCCGACTGAACCCGCAGGACAGAGCCAAGAGCCTGCAGCCGGCCAGGAAGGTGGTGGCTCAGGCAAAAGAGACACCTGAGTCCGAATATGCTGTGCCCTTCGACACCATCGCCAAGTCCCTGATGGCCACAGAGTTTGGCAGCTTTCTCTGCGGCTTTGTGGAGCCAGAGGTCCCGTACCCGCTGTATGACAGCATCGATGAAGCGGGCGTGAGGAAGCGGAGACAGCCACCCACTCAGACCAAGCCAGAGCACATTTATGATGAGCCCGAGGGCCTGTCTGCCCACACTGTGTACGATGAGCCCGAGGAGGTCAAAGGGGAGGCCTGGAAGCTGCAGGCCACTGCAGAGGACCCAGTGGGTCACGAGTACCCCTACAACCCCCAGCGGGATGACTACTCTGTGCCCAAGATGGTCGTGCCCACCCTGAACTTGCTCTCTGGGCGAGGGGGTGACTGGATTGGGGAAACCGAATATGACAATGTGGCCCTGAGGTTCATGAACAAGAAGAAGAATGTGCAGTAAAAGGGAGGAGAGGGAAGAGGAGAGAGAACAAGAGAAAGGACTTTCTGTGCTGCCATTCCACTTGGCCCCAGGTTGCGCCATCTCTCTAACCCCGGAGATGGCCGGAGTGGACATTTCCAAGAGCCTTTTCTCTTCAGCTGTCCCTTAGAGTAAAAGCTGAGTCTGTCGAACTCATCTCACTAGTGACTGAAAGCCTGTTCGGGCCTGGCTGTCCAGCAGGGGGGCATGATAGAATCCAAGTGCCTTCTCCCTTAGCCTAGACTGTATAGATTTAGGGCAAGGGTCATGCATTGCTGTATATTGCGTACGGCACTCAGTACGGTGATGGCAGTTTATATATATAGTACTAATAATGCTGCCCCAAAGGGCCTGAGTTTCTCTCCACTCCTGAGAAGATATTCCTGGGCATCTCTATTAAAAACAGCATTTAAACCGGCTGCTGGAGTTGCATACGGCTTCTTTCCCCATTACATCAGTTTCTCTGGCCCAGCATTACCAGGGTGGATCCTCTGTTTCTTCCTGCCATCGGATCCAGACTGGATGCCGTTCTGGAAGCTATGCTTTAGTCCAACATGAGTTACGGGGATCAATACAGGGATAACTGGGTGAAATGTAATGGCCTGTGATATCGCAGAGCTCAGAGATGATCTAAGGGGCCCTTGTGAATCTATGAACATTCCCTCCTCTCCTCCAGCACACCTGATCCCATCTTCCTGTGACCTGTGTTGTGTCCTAGTGAGCTCACGGGAGGAGATGAAAACTTAGGGCCAAGCAGGAGATTCAGGTGTGACACTGGCCGAAGAAGTGGGACATCAAGCTGAGACAGTGGTTCGGGCAGGATAGCCCACGGGTGACACTGGCCAAGCTGGAGAGGGGCAGGTGTGATATTGGTCTCTGTGGAACAATTTCAAGAGCACACCTCACACGTGCCATTGACACAGGCAGGGCAGCTGGGCTGGGACACTGACTCAGGCGGAGTGGGCCAGCTGGGCCCACTCTGCCAGGTCACTGACAGCTGGGGAGGGGGCAGATCCAGTGGCAGCAGTGGGGCTGCTCTGGCAGATCATCGGCCCAGGTGGTGCCAGGCATAATTCACCTGTGACATTTCAACTGTGCACCCAATAGCCAGCTGCCCCAGGGGGTGCATTCCCACTGCCCCACTCCCTGGAGGGTGCATCCCCACAGTCGACTGCCTCACTGCCTCTGAAAGGGGAGAGCCAGGCAAAGCGAACCTGCACCGGCTTTGGTGCTGATCCCTCCGTCTTCAACCCACCTCGGCCAGGAGCTTCTAAGCTGTCGGTTTATTTCTGAACTGGCAGCCTGTGGACAGCCATCCTGCTTCTCTCCCGCTGGAGGGCAGTGTTGGCCCATGGTACGATGCTCTAGCGCTATTGGGAAGAGGAACCAGGCTGAAACTCCCTCTGCAGCAGGGTTTCGGATAACATGATTAAACATGAGGTTCTGAAAAAGAACATACATGAGAAAAGAAGGGGGGGGGAAATCCGTGAAACCTGATCGGAATGGATATTTCTGTTCCGTTTAAAGGGGCAGCACAGGTCAATGGTGATGGGTCTGTGCGTGAGAAGAGCATTAGTGGTCAGCAGCCAATGCAGCTTAGTGCAGGTGTGACCCAAGGCCTGGGAAGTGGGGCAGTGGGGATGGCCTGCTGCAGGCTGGAGCTCCGGGTCTGACCCCGTCTCCATAACAGGCTGATCAGTAGGGGGAAACTGTGATAGAGACAGAAGTAGGACCGAGGGGTGAAAACCGTCTAGTGCAGGGCCCTATGTGAGGGGGACCAGAAGAGAGCAAGGGAATGGGAGCTTGCCAGGAAACAAACAGAAAGGGAGCAGGAATGTACCCAGACACTGCTGATTTTCCCCAAAAGCTCCATCTGAGACCTGCCAATGCCAAGCAGCCAGAGAGAGACGTCACACCCTGGCTAAGGTCAGAATTGCCCACTTCCAGGGTTTGGCTTTATGGCGATCTCAAATTGCAACCAAACATAAACCTTGCACAGAGATGTCCCCTGAAGCCCAGCTAGTCCTATAGGTCCCTGCAGGACCTCACTGCATCTTACCCTGGTATGCTCTGAGCAGAAGGTCACACCCACTCTCCTCTATACTGGTGGAGGTATCAAGGTGCACCTGGCACCATGACACAGCACGATTGTGCAGGTTTCTAACACCTGCTAACAGGGTGCGTCAACAGAAAAGCTCCCCAGCCTTATTAGAGTCTTCCACCCACCGGAGCATGTGGTCTCTCTGTATAGCACACACATGCTCGTTTTTATTGGGAGCTGGGTGTGTACCAGCAACCAAAGAGTTAACGAAACACTGCTGAAGAGTAAGGTTTCATCACTGACCTGGAAGCTCTGACCACTAGACAACACACTGCTCTCAGAGCTGGGGCTGGAACCCAGGAGTTCTAACTCCCAGACACTCCCTGCTCTAACCACGAGACCTCAATCTCTCCTCCCCAAAGTCGAAATGGAACCCAGGAGTCCTGACCCCCAGACCCCTCTCCAGCCCATTACCTTAAGCTCCCATCTGCACCCCTTCTGAGCTAAGCACAGTTGCTGCCTCCCCCTCCCCCAAATAAATTAATGACAAAACAATGGTTTTTAAGTCAGCAGCGCTCAGAGCTGATTGTATTGTGTGCTCCCGGGGGACACCTGCCTTCCTATTTACACTCCATTGTTTGTGTTTTTAATTCAGCTTTGTTTTCTGATCCTTTACAATTTTCTTTTTGTTTTTTCCTACTAAAGTTTTGGTTTGTTTGTCTGTTTTGATCCATTATTCAACCAAATCTTCCCTTTCCAAGGTTTTGTGATGTGCTTCAGCCCGGCTGGCTGCAGGCCAGGGGGCACAGGCATCTGGGGAGTCCAGCTCTTGTGCAGTTTACAGATACTATTAGAAAAATGCACAAATGGTATTCGGCATGTGTGTAGCACTTTGCACTGCACATACCTTAACTAATTCACCCTCCATCTGGGACCAAGGTCAGTTTTATTATCTCCATTATACTGATGGGAAAACTGAGGCACAGAGACGCGCCTGGCTTGCCCATGGTCAGACACTGACTCGGGGCAGAGCCTTCAAAGGCAGGAGTTCCCACCTCTCAGTCCACGGGGTCACTCTCTCTCTTGGGCTGAAGTGGGACTGGTGTAACTCCAGTTTTCTATGGGAACAAACCCAACCATTACATTAGTGAGGCCAGATCCTCAGCTGGTGTAAATCAGTTCAGCTCCATTGACATCAGCAGTACTCATTGTTTCACGGTAGGTCAGCAAAGGGAAAGACCATTAAGATCTGCCTATCCAAGCGGCATTTAGAGGCCTTTACAAATACCTAGCATAGGTTAGATCAGTGGTTCTCAAAGCTGGCCCGCCGCTTGTTCAGGGAAAGCCCTTGGCGGGCCGAACCAGGTTTGTTTACCTGCCGCGTCCGCAGGTTCGGCCGATCGCGGCTCCCACTGGCTGCGGTTTGCTGTGCCTGGCCAATGGGGGCTGGGGGAAGCGGCGCGGGCCAAGGGACATGCTGGCCACCCTTCCCGCAACCCCCATTGGCCTGGAGCGGTGAACCGCGGCCACTGGGAGCCGCGATCGGCCGAACCTGCGGACGCGGCAGGTAAACAAACCAGTCCGGCCTGCCAGGGGCTTTCCCTGAACAAGCGGCGGACCGGCTTTGAGAACCCCTGGGTTAGATAGAATGATCACCCAGTCCATCTCCCTGTGACCCCTACAGTGTGTTCTAGCTTTAAGTGCCTTCCTTGGGAAGAAGACCCCACAGCCTGAGAGATCTGTTGTCTTAATTTAGGTGGAATATATGGGCTCAAAGAGCCAAAGGTGTTAACATAACCCACTCACTGCCCAAAATTAAACAGTTTTTAAAAAGGTTTCAGCATTTTGTATAGAGAGACCTTGGCCTGCTTAGCACAATGGCAAACACACCATTAAGCATCACATCAATCTTTTATTAAAGAGATAGAAAAGAAGGGAAAAGAGTGAAAGCATTGGAAATGAATGAAGCATGCATTGCAAAGCGAGAGCATTTGAAATGAATCAGGCTTTCATTTTAACAACAGCCCTTATTCCCTTCCTCTGTAGCCGGAGAGAGTTTTTAGAAAGAAACACCCCTACCCGTTGTTTGACAATCTCTTAGATGGTATCAAAGGCGATAAGTGTCCAGTCCTCCCAGGGGGTGCTCAGGTTTTAGCTGGAGCTAGTGGAGGTGGAGATGTCATCTGGCTCCCTCTCTCTGGCCTGGTCTGGTCAGGAAATCTCTCAGGATTAGGATGAAGAAGGAGCAGGGTCCCAGGAGACAGTGGGGGTAGCAGCCATGATGGTGAAGCTCGCTCCTTCCCCTTCACCCAGTGTAGCAGTAGCCTCCGTCTGCTGTTCTGTATTCCCCCCCACCCAAAAAGTTTAAGAACCCCAGAAGGGAATAGTGGGTGGAACAGCCATCGTCTCATTATTTTGTCCACCACCAATAGGTCTTTCTTCCAAAACACTGATTTTCTGTCTCACACGGTTCTTGTTTACCAGGGATGATCTGAGCAACACTGTCCTTGAATTATAGCAGGAGGCCTTTTTGTTTGGACTAATTCACTCTGTCTCGCTTTGCAACTTTCCCCGTCAACATTTGTCACTCTAGGTTGTTGTGACATTCCATGAACTTTCACTCACTTTTCACCCACTGAGCTCACAATTAGTGCAAATTTGTAGGCTCAATTATCACAGCTGATCTCATGGGCAAGAGGTTTTCCCGGATAGTCAGTCTAACTTTTCCCTCTCCCATGGCCCCTAATAACATTCTCCTTCCTTCCCCCGGCCCTAAATAACTCCTCTCCCTCTGGGGTATTTCTACCCTACAACTCTTTCTCATCTCCTTACCATAGTCAATGCTTAGCTCAGCCCAGAAAGACTTAGAACATAAGAATGGCCAGACTGGGTCAGACCAAAGGTCCATCTAGCCCAGGATCCTGTCTTCTGACAGTGGCCAATGTCAGGTGCCTCAGAGGGAATGAACAGAACAGGGAATCAACAAGTGATCCACCCCCTGTCGCCCATTCCCAGCTTCTGGCAAATAGAGGCTAGGGACACCAAAAGCTTGTATGAAAGAGACAAGGTGGGGGAGGTAATATCTTTTATTGGACCAACTTCTGCTGGTGGAAGGGACAAACTTTTGAGCTTACACAGAGCTCTTCTGCAGGTCTGGAGAAGATATTACCTCACCTACCTTGTCTCTCTCATTTCCTGAGACCAACATGGCTACAACACCACTGCAAACAACATTAGCTTTTTATATCATTTGACTACGGGCCTGTTTGATCCAAAGTCTATTGAAAGACTCCCACTGTTATGCTTTCTATTCCAGTCATGCCCAGAGGCACCAGCTGGGATCAGGGCTCCATTGTGCTAGATGCTGTACATATACATAGCAAGAGCCAGTCCATGAAGAGCTTGCAATCTAAACAGACAAAAAGTGGAGGAGGAAATAAAAGCCAAGAGACAGGATGGCCCAGACCCACACTGGAATTTAGGCAGCTAACTCCCACTGAAATCAGCAGGAGTTAAGTGCTTAAATACCTTTGAGGATCTTGGTTCAAGTGACTGGCCCAAGGTCATGCAGCAGGTCAGTGGCAAAGTGAGGAATATGAATCAGGCTCTCTGAATTACCAGCCCTAGCCATTGGGCCACACTACTGCTGCATTAGAGGCCCCATCTTCAGTTGGTGTAAATCAGCATTGCTTCATTGACTTCGTCTTTTTTTCCCCTTTGACTTCAAGGGCTTTCAGGTCAGGCCCTGAGAGATCACAGCAGAGTATTTTTAACATGCTGGTTGGAAATGGGTCTGTTCTCATGAGCAGATGCCTCTAGCGGGGCCCGTGATGGCGGCTGGGGATACCTGGTTCTGCTGAAGGTCACGCTCGTTACATGGAGACCTCTTGTTGCAAGCACATTCGCATAAAGAGCCACAATTTTTACTGTCTCAGCCAGTTTTTTTTAAACCACTTTCCACCTGCCTCTGAATTATAAATGAAACCCTCTGCTTTATTGTCATGGTTATTGTAGTGGCTTGCTTCACAGGTGGATGAGCAGCGCAGCAGGAGACCCTGCCTCCATCCAAGTGCCACAACTTCAAGGGGCTTTGGGGAAAACAATTTTTTTTCTTTACACTCAAGTTGAAAATTTTGGGGGGGGGCTTTTGTTTTTAACCAATTAAAGGAGCAGTAGCATGCTTGGGTTTGCTTCATGGTCTGTCTCTAATCTCATCTCGGACAAGAGTGGTAGCCAGAAGCCATTCATGTCAGGGAAAATGATCTGAACTGGGATTGCCCTGGAGCTGGCAAAGGGGATTCAGCCTTCGTCATTGGTTGTGTGGCAGCAGCACCTGGAAGCCTCATCTAAGATTTGGGTCCCATTGTACCAGGGCTGAACACGAAGATGGTAAGAGATAGTCCCTTCCTGGGGAGCTCAGGCCCAGATCCTCAGAGGTTAAAGCAAAAGAAAAGGAGTACTTGTGGCACCTTAGAGACTAACAGATTTATTTGAGCATAAGCTTTCATGAGCTACAGCTCACTTCATCGGATGCATTCAGTGGGTTTCATTGATGTTCCTCCTTTGAGGTCTCCAAAGAACTAGGGAAGCTGTGTCCTCAGTCCCTTCCCTCTTCACTCGAGACCCTGGCCCCAGCTCTTCCCGCAGCCTGCTGCCCCTCACAGCAGCATGCCCATTTACTGCCACTTATCCCCACTCAAAGGTTCTTTTGTTTATTTGGTGAAATTATAGAAATCAGCAGGTCCCCAACTTTCCATTCTGTTCCTTGGGCTCCCAGGGCTCACATTCACTCTCCGCACCTTTGTTACATGTTTTCTTATCTCTCCCCCACCAGTTCCAGATTCAATTTCTGAACATAATAGAAACAGCAGGATCCCATGTGTAGGGCCTGAAGTTCCCGCCAATGGACTCTAGGGGGCAGTCTCCCGCTTTCAGCCTCTGATGGCCACCTTGGCTTTCTAAAGGGACTCTTGGCCCATCATCTAGCGGGATCGCTCCTGCACAGTGACGCGGCTGGATGAAAGAGCGAGAGGCTCGGCTGGCTTGGAGAAGTTCAACTACCAGCTTCTATCAACCAAGACTATTCTCTATAAGGACAGGACATGGCGGAGCCAAGACCCGGTAGGTGAGTAATAATTCATTGCATTTCTATAGCTCCTTCCATCTGAGGGTCACAAAGGCTTTCCAGACACTAATGAGTGATTCTTCTTGGCCCCCACCACACAAGGAAATTCAGTATCATCACCCTCAGGTAGAGGCTGCAGCATCGGTGAGCTGTCCGTGGTGCTGAATGCTGATCACTCAATGCTTTGTCCAGCCCTACGGAGTCCATTAGAATCAGAGAATCAGAGAATCTCTTTGGCCTGCACTGTGTCAGGGACCCAGTGAGTCAGGCTGGCTGAGTTGCAGCACTTTTACTGTTGTGGCCGCTTGGGTTGAGAAACCCAAAGTGGAAAGAGGAGATGAGGAAGGACAGTAGCCATGGAGTTTGGAGAATGGTAGGAACCGGTATTTTCTGAGCAGAGAAGATCTGAAGTTGAGCCTCTGAGCAGCTGGTGCCTTGTCCCGGAGGGGAGGGAGTAATTAATCATGCTTGGCACTCAGTGGTGGATCTCAAAATAATTCACGAAGGAGGCTGAGTAACATTATCCCCATTTGACTTGGGGGAAAGCTGAGGCACAGAGAGGAGAAAAATTTAAAAAATTATTTGTATTCCATTAG